ATTCTCAATAAATATTGTAGGCAATTCAACCACAATTTTAGCCATTATAGATCCTTATTTCTTTTGATCAAAGATGATTTGTTTTTGGACAAGAAAATTTTAAAAATGGCTTCATTTGGAACAGAGAGATTACTGTTTTCCCTTTTCTCTAGTCCCACTAACTAATATTCGGCTTGATGTTTTGTGTACTACAGGCATGGCCGCACTCATGACAGCAATGGCTTTGGTAATTACCAAAATCCGCGGAGCCTAATAAACGGTGCACACAATTCAGACAGGCATGGCCGTAGCAGGAGTAGGAGCCCTGTTAGGGGGGCCGCTTCTGGGTGGGGTGGCAGTGACAGTAGGAGTAGGGCTCGCAGTAGGAGTATTGATAGGTTCAGCAGGTCTACTACTCGAGATGTTGGACGGAATTTCCGCGAGGCAGCCCCCGTCACAACGCGAGCAGGAGCATCCTTGGTGGCTGCTGCAAAGCAGAGACCGCCACCAACTTACGATTACGGACTTAGGGAGAGTAACAGAAGATCACATGATTACAACAGCAACCAAAAGCATTGGGAAAGATCTTCTCCTTCACCCAAGGATCAGCGCAATGGGAAGTATGGATCTCATCAAAATAGCGGGGATGAAGAGGAAGGTATCTTTCACCCCCCAAAGGAAAAGAGCAATTACTAAGCGCCCACTGAATAGTAAGGGTGGAACTGTTGCATTATGCTCTTTCCTTTGCTACTGTTTCACTTGGATGTTGTAGTTTATTTTGGCGGTAGGAGACTTGCTGGGTAGAGGTGTAAAAGAACATTGAGAATGCTGCTTGCAATGTTTAGTGTAATAGGGGACAATATGTGGGCTTATAAAGTGATCAAGTGTATTGTAAGACTACTGATATAGAGACGAGTATTATTGACACATGACATTGAATTGGAAATTTTTACTAATTCCCTTTTTTTGGATGCTGCCTGCCTCACTAGTCACTGCTATGACTTCACACCCCACCCCAAGGATCATGATAGGTTAAAGGAGAAGGTAAACCCTGAGAGGGAGAAACATTAGCTGTTCGGGTTCTCAAAAGTTTTGCTATTAGCCTACGTGGAATTCGGGGGGGTCCTTTATCAATCACTTTATTATGTTTCAATCCTTTATTAATATTGATCTACTATCTATTCAAATTTGATATTAGTCTTATTTTGTCTTTTGAAAAGCCCGTAATATTATTTATGTCATTATCTTTATTATGATTAATCTCCACGGCCATTACTTATTTCAAATAATTACATAGTCACTAAAATAAAGATTGTTTACAAAAATTTGACTATTGACTATAGTAGTAGTGTAATCATAGTAATTTAGGTTCAATTTTTAAACTTAAGTGATCATGGCACCTATTAGTCATAAATTGAATAGGTAGCTTGAAGTCTTGAACCTAGAGTCATAGATAGTACTTGATAAAACTTTTCAATGTGTGTCTTAGGCATGGATTCAGCCTTCAGGCCGGGTTGGGCCTGGGTCGGGCCTAGGCCCGGTCGGGTCGTTGGTTTGTGAATGATGGGCCCGGGATCGGCCTGAGGTAAAGGCGGTTCCGGTTCGGGCCGGGCCACCTGCTCGGGTCACGGGTCGGGCCACTCGTCGGGCTGGGCTGGGCCGGTTAAATACATTTTTTTTATAATTTATACTTTATAGTTTTATACAAGTATTAAAAACAAACTTCAAGTGCATTTATTTGAAATGAAATAGGAACTACATTTGACAATTGAGAAAAGAAATACACTATGAAATACATTTTGTAATCAATCGGAACTTCCCGGACCTCTCGGTCTTTTGGCTTTGTCACATGACTTAATATGCTTCTTTGTCATCCTGTATCCGTGTGAAACCTCCATGCTACACTTTTTTCCGCACCCTTTGCAAGTTGCGTATCACATCCCGGTCCTCGGGTCCTTCTGCGTATCAAAATTATACCGTATAACGGCATATTGACTTTCCATCTTAAAAATGGTAGATATAATAATTCTACAAATACTAGAATAGATGGAGATGAAGATGGAGAATGGAGATTGGAGATTAGAGATTGAAGAAGATGTGTATAAAAATGTTAGAAAATAGGAGTATTTATACAAATTGAGCGAAGTGAGCGAACAGACAAAGGCTAAAGATGTTCAAAACCAAACCACAGGATTGCAGTGCCACCCCAGGTAACTTGCCACACTTATTGGTTCCTAAAAAGTTCTTTACTCTGAATAGCCTAGAATCCACTGGACCTTTTCCTAACCTTGTGTTTTACTGCAACGTGGTGCTGAATTGCAGAGGCATCATGATTCATGATACTATTTTTCAAGCTGAACGATGGAGATGGAGTTGAATGATTTACTTCAAATGTTCAAGAGTTTCATATGTATTCCATTTTTTGATGATTTAATGTTTTGTTGCGCAAACCGAATGGTGATTGCCTTTATGTGCTCTGTGGAGTACATTATACTAGACTTTTTATCATGAGATTTAGATTATACAAGACTTCATTCATGCCATTGAGTTTTTTATCACTCGCATCTTGTTTGTATGATTTTGGGAGTTTACTAAAATTGGACAAAAGTAGTGTTGCAACAACTCAAAAAGACAACAGTAGTTAATATCCCAAAATACGCCTTTTGTTATAAAATTCCATCACAAGAAAGTCCACCACATGATTTCTCCCATCTCTGTTACAGCTAGGGATGGACTCGGGTCCGGGCCGGGTCCGGGTCGGGCCTAGGCTCGGGCGGGCCGGCGGTTCAGAAGTGGTGGACCCGGGACCGGCCCGGGTAACCACCGGGTCCGGTCCGGGTCGGGCCCATTAGCAATTTCTTTTCCCTCTTCCTAATTAACCCCCCTCCCACCCCCAACCCCCCAAACCACCCCAAATGGCCCAAAATACCCAGCCCAACCCGAAAATTTTAAAAATTAAAAAAAAAATAGTTTTGGCCCGAACCGGGCTTTGTTTTGGGTGACCCGAGTCCGGACCGGAAAACCCACGGGTCGGGCCTACCCGGACCGGTCACTGACCAGGCCACCGGGTCGGGCCAGGCCGGAACAGTACCGGTCTCGGGCCGGTTCCGGGTCGGGCCACCCGCCCCGAGTCCATCAATAGTTACAGCGCTTGCAGCTCAACTGCCTTGATTTTCTACAACCTCCTCATGCATGAAAAGGGGTTGCTATTCTCACAAAGTAAAACACATGTCAGCATAATCCACTCATGCATCAGTGTTAATTTTAATATACCAGCTGCTCACAAGAACAGCCTTGCACGGTCTTGTAGATGTTGAAAATATCCTCATGGTGGAGCTGAATCGAAGTTCGGTTCGGGTTTCACCCCACCCCCACCCCCCACCCCCACCCCCAGACCGTCCGGACCCTCCTTCCAGCCCACCCAACGGCTATATAGTCGTTTGGGTAGTCCCCACCCCACCCCCAACGGCTAGTTGTGGCCCAAACAATTTTTTTTCCGAGTATTTGACCGTTGGACCCAACCCGGACCCGGGCCCGACCCGGCCGGGTCGGGTCGCCTTTTGCCTGAACCTCCCCCCCGCCTCCCCCCGATTTGGGTCTACACCCAGTCCCGGACCGCCAGACCGGGCCGGTCCCGGGCCCACAAGTAGCGGGCCGGGCCAGGTCACGGGCCGGGTGACCCGAACCGAATCCAAGCCTAGTGTGTCTATATATATGAACAGTTGCCAGAAAATAAAAAGTAAAACTAAAACATTCAAGCTTATTATACTAATAACTCAGCTGATGACATATAGCTATCCACATGCTATTTTTTAGTGTCTATCAAGCAAAAATGGAAGACAAATATTCATCAATTATGTGAAACACGTTGGTTTTGTTGCTCTGAGAATTAAAATCTATATCTATGAGTCATATAAGTGATTTTTCATACATTTTCAACAAAATACCATTGGTATAATTTGCAACTTTTTAATGTTGAAAATTTATGAGTTGCGATTTTATAGGTTTATGATTTTGGCATTTTTAATGTTGAATTCTAGAGTGATACACTTAAACAATTTAATTCAGTCTTAACAATCTTGGATGTGATGCAAACCTCATACTTGAGAGTTGAGACCGTCAACGGACCAAAACTAATGGGTATTGGCTTAGTGGGTTGGGCTTAATATAAGAAAATTAATCAATGGACAAGGCCAAGTCGAGCTTTTTAAATAAAATTACAGTCCTAATCTATTTATATAGATTGACTTAAGGGCCAAAACAAGCTGGCCCGCGTATCACTAATAGGGCTAGGACTGACAGGCTTGTAGAAAAAAAATACACATTTTTATGCATCACGAAGTACAATGTAATCAACCAAGTAGATGAAAAAGAATTCATTACTCTAGAAAATGCACTAATAAAATAAAAGTTTAAACTTATTTATAGCTTATAAGTTTTTGCAAGTATACTCTTGAATCTAAGATGCACAAATACCACATTTAATCATCTAATCTAGACTTATCAAGCTTTACCATAATCCTTTATCACCTAACAATCTTCAAAAACTTTATTCTCTTCCATATTAACATCATGTATCTGGTTTGGTTTTGATGTAATAATATTAATAACTAGATCCAATGTTGTTGTTTTCTAATTTTCTAGATCCAATGTTGTTGTTTTCTAATTTGCATTCTAGAGTTTACCCATGTCTCAAAAACTATATGATGCCACTATCATTTTATATTACTAATACCAACTATGTATTCAGTGTTGAATTAATTATTAAGCAGTGTTGAATTATGAGGTTTCTGAGCCGGGATGGATCATGAAGAGCTGAACCAATGAGCCGGGCTGGATTTCATATACGTTACTCATGCTGGTTCATGCATTTTAGCAAATGGAATGGACAAAGCTCCCACGGGCTCATTAGGCCACGGCCCGTGGCCCACGGGCTATATGATGATCCCTACCCCATACCCACCTTTTGGAATCAAGATCACGATTTTTACTGTATTGCCCTTATATTTTTACTCAATGTGTGGGAAAATGACACATGAAACTCTCATATGCCAAACCATTTCCATTGCGTTGAAAAAGGAGGCCCTTAAATTAGGGGTGGGATATAATCACCCAAACTGTAAGTTCTAATGTTTTCACTTTAACCTTAAAATTATCATGGCGGATTTTCTGGTTCATAAGTGTTGGTCAATGAAGAAACCCAATATTTAGTAGGCTACCGTTGTCTACAAAACTGTCAAACTACAACATGAACCAGAGAGCCTCAGCGCCTTTTACATAGACTGTAGTGTCTCTGCCGGTCGAGGTACACCATTTATGCTGCACATTTAAGTCTGGCAAATGTCAAATAACCAGTGTGACCTCTTGCCTCACCACAAGGCATCACTGTGACAGTGGGAGAGGAAGCAGAACAGTTGTCTACAATGTCAGATGCCATTCTCCTCTTGCATGGATGATGATCAACTGTATCACCATTCTCACTTAGGCACCTCTCCTGCATTCTTTGCCTAACTTCATAAGCGCGGAGGAGTACTTCAAAGGTTCTTATATCTACATTATCATGAATAATACACACAAATTATGTCCTTAACAACATGTAAGCTGAATCAAATATGTCACCCAATTAACATTTAACTGTCTTTGGGAAAATGGAAACTAATAATCCAACCTTTTAACGGTCTTCTTACAATAGTCCCACCTTTTCATTATTCATGAGTAATCCAACCTTTGGAAAGATAAGAAAATAACTTGGAATAACAGGTCCATAAATCGGTCAGGGACCAGTGAATGAAGATGGGGTGCAAAGGTTGGATTATTCATGAATAATGAAAAAGTGGGACTATTGTAAGAAGACCGCTAAAAGGTTGGATTATTAGTTTCCATTTTCCCAATAGTCCATTGTCTTTCAATACTTGATACTTAATTCAGCGCTAGTTTACAGTTTTCTTACAAATATGCGGGAGTGGGTGCAGGATGACTCTCCTTAGAAGGGATGGACATAGGATGGTGATGGTCCCTCCAAAGGTAGGAATCGTGACCAGAACCAGTAATATTAGAACACGGTTCTGCATCTCGTTGCGATTCAGTTTCTGCCTGACTTCTTAGCCTACATATCTAAACTAAAAAGAGAAGTGAAAATACAATGAACCAATCCATGGGCGGAGCTAGGGGTGGGCCAACCTAGGCCATGGCCCACCCCAAATTTTAAAAATGGCTTAATTTTTAAGGTAAAAAATTTCGTGTAATTTGTTTTCTAAAAATATTCTTTGCACCGGCCCAGTCCGGCCCATTGTCCTGGCTCCGCCCCTGAATTTACCAATCCTTTTCTGGGGGAAACAGAATCAGATCCGAAAATATAAGGTTATCAGTATCGGTTCATGACTGGTCAGCTCCGGCTCGGAATCATGGGTGAGCTTACTGGCCCTTGAAGGGTCTGCCAATAGTAAAAGTTAGACTGGTATACTAAGGCCTAGCGCCTTGCTGGGGTTAAACGAAATGAGGCAGGACCTGAAAGCGAAAAAAACCTAGTCACCCTATGAGAGCCTAGCACTAGAGCTGAACAGAAAAACTGTCAATCTGGAAAACTCAAACCATACACGGTTGATTGCTGACTTAGGGTTTTAACTTAGAAACTCCACCAAAAACCAACCAAAACAAACCAAACACCGAATGAAACAAACCGTAAACAACCGACAAGCACCCCTACCCCATGCCTAGAAGCAGAGATTATTACAACAATGGCTACGACCACTTGCAAGCAATAAATTTGTGCATGACTCTAAAATAAGTAAGAATAGAGTAGCAAGCAGTATTTACCAGTGAAACAAGAACTGAGTGCTTCACAAGAGCGCTGGACTTGCTCAATGCAAGGTGAAAAGGAGCACAAGACACCATCTTCTTTCAACATTTTTCCAACTGAAGTTATGGCAAGCCAAGGTTGAGGGAGATCGAGAAACACTGAATCTGCCCTCTTGCAAAATTCCTCAGGAAACCCCTCACCTTGTATGTCTCTTACCCCTACTGTCACCAAACTCTTTAAACCTGTCTTCTCGAAATCCTCTCTACATACAAAAACATCTTCAATCATTTACTCTTGCGAAGCTCAAAACGCCCTCCAAATGCTAAATCAAAAAATACTTTTCCATTTATAGATTGCAATGACATCTTATGAACTCAAATATTTAAAGGAAATTGCTCCAAATGGGACTAAAAAACAAATAAAGTGCACAAATAGGAGTACTTGTGTTTCATTCTGAAATATGACTTATTTGATCCTATCAATAGTATAAACTTGCTCAAATAGGGAGCGAATGAATCTTATTTTAGAAAGAAAACAATAGTGGTCCTGTTTGTGCATTTTGAGTATGTCTTAGTCCAATTTTTTAAAACCTTTTTTTAATACACTACGGAGTACATGTTAGTAAAATTAATTGTTTAAGCTATACAAGCATTAACACAACATGTTTCTTCAAATAGCTATCCAAACAACACATTAGCACACTTTTACCACAATTTTCAAAGAGCAATTCTTATCTTAAATAAACACCTATATTCAATCAAACAGTAATATTATATACAAGTACTTCAAAAGGACCCAACTATTGATTCTTTTTTTGGAAATACCCAACTATTGATTCTTATTCGCAGAACTTGAGACAATTCTATATTAACGAAACAGAGAAGAAACAACCGATCTGGTTACCTAGCAGATGCAGCCCTCTGTTCATGGAAATCAAATGTGTAAACGTGCCCTGTAGGAGCAACAGCCCGAGCAAGAGATGTGGTCAAAGACCCGCTTCCTGTACCGGATTCAAGTACCAAACAGCCCGGAACTGCTTCCAAATACATAACCACGAAACTTATATCAGCAATATATAGAATCTGAGTTCTGTGACTCAGAACAAGCGTCCATAGTTCCGGCGTTGGGGCCAATAGGTATACGAATCCGCTCTTTGAGCTAAAAACTTTCGACCCGAAATGTTTCCCGACCCAATCCGAATGCTTGAACACCCCGAATCGATTCTGGAGCACCCCATTCTGGGAAACCTTCACAGCTTTCATCACGTCGTGCCTTTCGTACACAATAACCAAATCTCCATCTTTGATGGGGCGATTGAATGATAATCTTCTGCCTGGGTCTATTTGAAGCACCATTGATATTGGGAAGCAGCTATGTAAACAAAATTCTTCTTTCTGCGAAGAACGCTTTGAAAGCTTTGCTCTGCTAGTTTCAAGAGCGCCCGCTCGGTTAGTAAAACTGCTGCAACAACCAAAGATGGAATGATTATAAGGATTGGGCTTTCAATGCATGTTTGACGTTCAATTAAGCCCCTTGACGTTCAATTAGGCCCAAAGTGTTGTGTACAGGTTTCATAGAGTTGTCTGTGAACAGATAATTCTGTGTACGAAACGTGTACATTTTTACACCAAACATTTTCCAAGTATTATACTCCGTATTGCCTAATAAAAATATTTTAAATTGGATTGAAATTCTCTAATGTAATCTGGTCTGAACTGGTCTGATAAATGTTTGATCTCTATGTATTTTATAATCATCCAAGTCTGATCTGATCTGGTTTGATCTGGTGTGGTATAGTCTGGTGTGACCTGATCTGGTGTGAGACTGAAAACAGTCCAAACAAAAATATCCTAAGGTAGAATAAAATTTTCATTTCATCCTTTATAACTTTGTCATCTTTGCCAAAGTGTTAAACATTTAGTGACATCACTATGACACTCTCAAGTAGGAGGTTACATGTTTGAAACTCATCAATATATACTCTAATATGTGAGAAAGTACGGTAAAAAATAACTAGTTTTGTGGATTGGGAGGACAGCCCGGTTCCTTTTTCCTTTTATGTATGTCCCAAAAAACTTTATCATTTTCCTTTTTATCAATAAATTTGTGGTTTAGTTCTCTCTTCTATACACAAATCTCAACCATTTTTTATATGACGTATAAAATACTACATCCACCCCGTTGAGATTGAGAAAAGGAGAGTGATGAGATTTTTAAGAACACTAAAGTTATCATTTATAATGAATTGATAAAGTGGAAATAAAGTAAGAATGAATTACAACGACACAAACATTACCAAATATGGTATGTGTCAAATTTAGTGGAACGAACGGAAAAAGAAAAATAGAAAAATTATAGTGGACCATAAGCAATAACAAACACTAAAATGATTAATTCATGTATATTTTTTTTGGAAGAGATTAATTCATGTATATATGAATAGTATGTGTACTTACACTTTTACATTAATGAAAAATGTATTAAAAACGTTTACCATAAGTACTAATATACATTTTAAAAATTTAAGTAATACGGACTCTCTCTCATTGTACTTTGTTAACTTTTTTTATTTGCCCCAAACTTTTTTTCACTTTTCATTTAAAGTGATGAATTTGTGGTTCAACTTATTTCTATCTTCTATGCATAAACATCAACCGCATATTTTTATTTTTCTTATTTCACTTCTAACTTAAAGCTAGCAATGTCCAAGAGGCAGAGGAAATAACATATTTTCAAAGAATAAGACGATGTACAATTTTTACCATTCGTAAAATACTTTAAATTAGTAAGAAATGCTTCTTTTTTCTTAACTTTCGCTCTTTTGTGTAATAGTTGGTAATAGTTGTAAATTGTCAATTATATTTTGTCTTTTGGATCTTTTGTGTTCCTAAGATGATACAACATCCAAACCTTAATTTCAAAAGAATTTGGGGTCGGCTAACATGAATCGATCTACGATATCGATGCCAAAAAGAAAAGACAGACAAGAAGTAAAAAAAAATAAGATAAAACGGATAAAATAAAGATAAATAAATATAATATAACAATAACATAAGAATATAAGACAAATAAAAGATAAAAAGATAATAGAGCTTAAAAAAGCTAGAAGATAAAAATAATATAAAAATTTAAAAAGATAAAGAAGATAAACGATAAAAAAAGAGGAAAGATAAAGACATCAATGCGCCCTCCACTTTGCTCTCTCCAAAGCCATACTCTCATTCAACCCAAGAAGACGCATATCAGTTATGATTCTTCTAATTCAAGTCTGTTTGGGTCTTCCCCTCCCTCTCTTCTCTACTTCTTCTCCCCACCCCTCAAGTTGTCTAACATGTGCATCACTCGGTCTTCTACGTACATGCCCAAACCACCGCAAACGAGACTCCTACATCTTATCTTCTATAGGTGCTACTCTCACCTTTTGTCTGATTATCTGATTTCTCAAGCGGTCTTTTCTGGAATGTCCACACATTCAATGCAACATACGCATTTCTGTCACACTCATCTTTTGAATGTGGCATTGCTTCACCACCGAACACTCTACGCCTTACATTAATGCATGCTTAATTGCTGTTCGATAAAATTTACCTTTCAGTCTAGTCGCCATACCTCAATCGCATAGAAATCCTGACGCACTCTTCCATTTCATCACCTAGCTCTGATTCTATGGCATACATCTACATCTAATTAACTATCCTTCTGAGTTATGGAGCCTAAGTAACAGAACATACCACACACCAGTATCTCCTTACCCTCAAGAGTAATCCCATTATTGCTACTAGTTCTACCTCCACCAAACTTGCACTCCATATACTCAGTCTTGCTACGACTCAGTCTGAAACCCTTAGTCTCCAATGTTTGTCTCCATACTTCCAACTTTGCTTTAACACCGGATTACGTCTCATCAATCAATACAATATTGTCAGCAAACATCATGCACCACGTTATATCTTCTTGAATTGACTTCGTAAGTTCATTCTGTTAGAAAAATGTGTTAAAAATTACATTAATTGGGCAATTTGGGGCAATATTTTGAATGGGTTCCACTTCCAATTTGGGTCGGGTCAAAGTAGTTTCGGATTGTCCTTGTTAAGGGCTACAATTAGATATATGATACACTCAAAATGGATAACGGGTGAATGAGAAATTGATTCTCGAAGTTCACTCATTGAAACAGAAAAACTGGGAAAAAGGATGAGTTTGTAGTGTGATTTATCCCACACCGGAAAACCCAAGGGATTTTCACCCCCTTATAAAGGGAACCCTCTTTGAAGAAGTTAAGATTCCTACGGGGAAAGGCTCTCTTCATGCGCAGGGGTGGGGGTGCCGATCAAATCCCGAAAATGGAGAAGAAAAACCGTGACTTAAGTGCACGGGCGACCTGCGGACACAAATGTAGTCCAAAAATCTCTCTCTCAAAGATACAATTTATTTTTGTTTCTTCCCGTAACGTTTTGTTTTTGCCCAGAACCAGAACAGCGCTCCGCTTCTGTTGGCTTCCGGACCAGAACACCTTAAAGGTATTCTGTTGGCTTTCGTGTAACACCCCCAAATTTCCCACCCAAAAATACATTTAAATAATAGTCTATTTGAAAACATCAGAGTTGTGCAGCGGAAAATTCAAAGGGAAACAGGGGCGTTACCGCCACACTCGATTCTCACATAACCGAGTGCACAGGCTATCCACCACCAATAATTAACCTTTTCCATAATTAATAGTTCAACTATGATTCTTTAAAAATTAAGACTAAAATAAATTACTTAGTCACTTTAGTCTATGTGTTCTAGCGGAAGCTCTCGAAGTCAACTTCAACATGATCCTCAATCCTGCACAAATAAGGTACAGGAAGAAAAACACAAAGAAACAAAAATTAGCTGGAAATGCTAAGTAAGGCCCACCCAACCCTGTAAAATAATCAGGTTTGGTACATATATACTTTTTGTAAAACCTTTGGGAGGAACCCTTTTTGAAACACTTTATACAAAGTTCCCATCATCACAAGTAAAATAATAATATCCCAAGTATAGGTACATATTTCCAAATCATAATATTTCTAAAAATGCCAATATACATAAACCACCAAAAATTCTCGTAAATATTCCAAAACGTAAATCATATGAAAAACTCCAAATATCCATCTCAAAACTCACATAAACACTTTATCAAAATCCTTCCAAAAACTCATAACTAATATTCATCATATTCATATCAAATCAAATCCAAAAGTATTTTACTTTGGAAATCCGCAATTAATTTAATAATTTCAACCACCTCAAATTCAATCCAATCCAAACAAAATATAACACACTCAAATAATCCAATATAATATAATTCAATTCACCTCAATCAAGTCCAACCAAATAATCCAAATCACCTCAATTCTAATGAAATTCACCTCAAAGACTCAAAACCAATTCATCTCAATACCAATGGAATCCAAGTCCAATTAATCCAAATATAATCCAATCCAATCATTCACACTCAATCAAAGCCAATGGAAACCGAACTCCTACCTTAAGTGTGCACACCCCCTAAAAGAGATTCCAAGCTCTCCGGGTAGTAATAGTCCGAGTAGTCGGGATTTTTCTACCGACTACTACAATTAAGCTGGGATGCTCCACTTTTGGGAGATCCCTGGTGGAATTAGACTTATAGCCATTACCACTCACCAAATCCACATTTCTCCGAGTACTCACAAAAATCATAATCCAATCTCAATTTCAAGTATCATAACATCAATCAAAATGGATATGAAATCCAAATTCCACAAAATTATTCACAATGAAATTATTAACTCCAACTCATCGTACTCAAATATACCACAAATAGTCCAAAATATAGGATACTTCATAAATAGCTGAAATCTCAAATCTCAATCCAATAACAATCCATATGTAAATTCAAATGCTCAAAATATCACCCAATATAAAAATACTCAAATCTCGAATATATATAATTCACAATCACAATTGATACGTAAAATCTCATTAACTATCATATACTCAATTGATCTCAAATAACTAGTCACAAATAAATTTATATGAGAAAAGCATGAAACTTGGTTGACATAGTACTTACCTCAAATCGCGATAATCCTAACCGAAGCCTCTAGCTCGATCTTCACCAAAGTCACCTTCTAAAAGTATTAAAATTCTTCAATTAGCACTACATTTCTTTTTTTTTTTGTTATTTTATCTCACTTAATATTCGTATAACCAAACTGGTTTAATTATCATTGTTATCCCCCTTACTATTATAAATCTATTATTATTATTATTATTATTATTATTAGTTCAGTCTAATTAAAAAAATCAGGCAGCCCAAATAATCTGTCAAGTTAAGCAAACTTGATCCACCAAATTAACCAGATCAATCCTAGTATTCGGCCAGGCTAGTTTCTAGTTTCTGGTCATTACTCGTCCTTACAAAACTCCAGCAAGTCCAAAATAAAAAGAATTCAGCCAAACGAAACTAACGTGATACGGAGTAAGTGGTGACTCACAGTTTGCCATCCTCTTCGACGATAGTGACGCAGGGAAGAGGAAGTCCTTAACGCAGCTTCCACGGATCCTCGGCTACTGCAGATGGCCAGTGACCCTTTTCCTCCCGGTGGCGACGGTAGCGGTCCAACAACTCCTCCACTCCAGTAAGGTGGCGACGCAGAACGGCGCGTCTTGAATGTCTTTCTAGGCGGCAGTTCCTCTTTCCTTCGGCTTCACAGCTTAGCGTCTCAGTTACCCAAATAAGAACCCCGGCGGCGAGAAAACTAACACAGCCGCAATTCTGGAAAGATCTTTCTTCCTCCGGCGACAGTGCGTATTTCCTACTGGCGTCTACACAGTCCGGCGCTCCATAATAATATTCCAGCGCACAATCCCTCCTTTGAAGACGATGTAGCGTAGGATTTCCGGCCACTCAAGTTTTCCGCCGATGATGTGCAACTTGTCCGACGATGCCCCTTACTTCAAAGCATCGGCCTGGGATTTCTCCGGCTGTCTCTGACGGTGCTCTCTTTCTTGTTTCTCTTATCTTTCAGTAACGGGAGTGGCAATATTTTTACAGAGGAATTTTGTTCGATGGTTCACTTTGTTTGCTTGGCCAGATCGATTTGCCCGTGGCATGGTATATGTATTAATGTATTCACACGGGTGTAACAGTTGTTTCCTTCTTGGTTCACATGCGTGATTGTTATTTTTATGCAAGTATGCATGTATGTGAATTAATGACATGTGTGATGACAAATGAAAGACAACTAGACGAGGCAGACATATGAGCAAGGACATGTGATTTATGTATATGCATGTATGTGTCACATGATATTCACCTAACCTAATAAGAAGGTCCCATTTTGATAGAGATAACTAAATTATATTTCCAAGTAGTTTTATCTTGTACCGAGATAGTATTTATGATAATGTACATACATTATTGTTAGGTTTAAAAAGTCAATTTTTTTTTTATTTCTGTACAAATATTATCAACTGATATCGAATTAAAATTGTTAAAGTGTCACTTTTATTATTTATATCATACGTATAATTTCCACTTGTTACAAAAATGTCACTTTTTTTTTATTTAGCTCAAGGTCCTATCCTGTCAACATAGTTATTTTAAAAATGTCACTTTTATTATTGAAACGTTTTTATCTGACTAAAAATGTCACCAATGTTAAATTTTATCTGATTCACTTGATTATTAAAAATGTTACTTTAGTAACAATTTACCAGACTTTAATATATATATATATATATATATATATATATATATATATATATATATATATATATATATATATATATATAAATTTTCGGTGTGTCACAATCTACCCTCCTTAAAAGATGCTTCGTCCCGAAGCATAAGCTAAGAAAATGTCCACAATTCAATTAGCAGGTATCGATCACATGTTAGGTAATATTAAATTCTTTTTTTTTAATATATATATATTTTTAATTCTTTCTTATTAAATTTAAGGAGTGTCACATTCTACCCTCCTTAAAAGAATGCTTCGTCCCCGAAGCACGTAACTTACTTAAGAAAATAGATTATTCATCTAAGATCAAAACGATACATAATCTTCAAATAGATTTATTAATATTGAAATTTAGAACTTTGATCGGATTTCGTCTACTATTTTCGGATTCTTCCATTGCATTTTGCATTCTATCCATGACGATTGAGTCCACGAGTTGGAGGGATTCCCTTCTTCCTGGAATGACACTCGAACACCCTATGTCCTAGCTTGTCACAATGAAAGCATCGTACAAGCGTTCCATCACAGTATTTCCCGGGGTGATCTTTTCCACAATTCGAGCAATAGAAATGCATCTCTTCAGTGGAGTTCTTCTTCTTACGCTTCTGGTCTTGGCCTTGGTTGTTAATCTTTTCCCCGTTTCGGGTCTCCCCTGGCTGATTTAGTTTGTGTCGTCTATCTCCCCTTTTGGTGTCTTCTTTGGTGCCCCTCCTTGCTCTCTTGAGTGTTTCCTTTTGGAGTTGTTGTACTCGATAGTGCTTGGCAGCTTTAACGTAAGCCTGATTCAGAGTTTCGCATCCTGAAACACAAAGAGCTTTTTGTGTCTCGAAGTTCAGACCGCGTATAAATTTGTTAGTTTTATCGATTTCATTGGGAACTAGTGTTGGTGCAAATCGTGCGAGGTTCAAGAATTTAGTGTGGTACTCTTTGACAGTCATATCCACTTGCTTCAAGTGTAAGAATTCCTCATACTTCTCAAATCTCACGTGCTCTGGGTAGAATCTTTCTCGCATTGCCTTCTTAAACGTCTCCCAAGAAAAGTCCGATTGTTGACGCAACGTTTGCGCTGTCGTGGCCCACCAATTGTCCGCCTCTTGACGTAGATAGTATGCAGCCGTATTAATTCGTTGATCTGCAGGGCAGTTTATAGCCTCGAAAAGTTTGTCGAAAGTGCGAATCCAATCCTCAAGGATGAGAGGATCTTCTTGGCCTAAATAACACGGGGGATTGCGCTTTGCTACGAGTTTCGCAACATCATTGTGGTTATTGAGACGTTGTTGGTGTTGATTCTGAATTAACACATTCCCTATAGTTTGGACGAGTATAGCTATCTTATAAATTCATTCTTTATAAGAATGAAGTGGAAAACCAACTTAATCGACGGATTAAAACGGTTAGAAGTGATCAAGGTGGTGAGTATGAAGTACCAATTGGTGACTTTTGCGCGAGCGTGGGTATAGTACATGAACGTACCGCACCCTATTCACCTCAATCAAATGGTGTTGCCGAACAAAAGAATCTCACATTGAAAGATATGATGAATGTGATGCTATTAAGTTCGGGCCTGCCACAAAATATGTGGGGCGAAGCAGTCTTGTCAAGCAATTACCTTTTAAATAAGGTTCCTCGGGAAAAATATGATAAAACTCCGTATGAGTTGTGGAAAGGTAGAAGGCCTTCCTATCAATATTTAAAAGTGTGGGGTGTCTTGCAAAAGTGCTTGTACCAACACCTAAGAAAATAAAAATAGGTCTAAAAACGGTGGACTGTATTTTTATTGGATATGCACAAAACAGTAGTGTTTATCGGTTTTTAGTGTACGATTCGAATAATCCGGATGTGCATAAAAACACAATAATTGAATCAAGGAATGCATCATTCTTTGAAGACATATTTCCATGCAAGTCCCATGAAGGACCAAACACGTCAAAACGAACATTTGACGTAGGTATGGAAAATACTACAGAGGAGTCCGGAGAAGAAGCCGAACCCAGACGTAGCAAACGTGCTAGAGTTGAAAAATCCTTCGGACCAGATTTTCTCACCTACTTGGTAGAGTTTGACTCGGAAATTCTAACATGTATGGTAGAAAATGAACCGGATTTTCTAACATGTTTGGTAGAAAATGAACCACAGACTTATACGGAAGCCGTGACGTCTACTGAAGGTCCTATGTGGAAAGAAGTCATCAAAAGTGAGGTGGATTCTATCCTACAAAATTACACGTGGGAATTGGTTGACCTTTCTCCGGGAAATAAACCTTTGGGATCCAAATGGATTTTTAAACGAAAAATGAAATCTGATGGTTCCATCGATAAGTACAAGGCCAGACTTGTAATCAAAGGATACAACCAACATGAAGGCCATGATTACTTTGACATGTATTCTCCTGTGACGAGAATAAATTCCATTAGAATGATATTAGAAATTGCCGCATTACGGAAATTGGAAGTTCATCAAATGGATGTAAAAAGCCGCTTTTCTAAATGGCGATATAGACGAAGAAATCTATATGGAATGGCCCGAGGGTTTTCATGTTCCTGGCCAAGAAAGGAAAGTGTGTAAATTAATTAAATCATTGTATGGATTGAAACAAGCCCCTAAACAGTGGCACGAAAAGTTCGATCATGGAATGTTAATTAATGGGTTTAAAATAAACGAAAGTGACAAATGCGTCTATGTGAAAAACACAGTAGACGGCTATGTCATTTTATGTTTATACGTAGATGATGTACTCATCGTGGGTAGCAATAATCTAATGATTAACTCTACCAAAAGCATGTTAAATTCAAAATTTGACATGAAGGATATGGGGCTGGCTGATTTAATCCTCGGGATTAAAATAATCAGGGGACCAGACGGTCTTACGCTAAACCAATCCCATTACGTTGATAAAATCCTTACGAAATTTAATAAGGATGATTATCAAGAGGCAAGGACTCCATTAGATAAAAATGTATACCTCACCAAAAATCGTGGAGAGTGTATTTCTCAAGTAGAATACGCTAGGATCATTGGAAGCTTGATGTATCTAATGAGTTATACCAGGCCTAATATTGCCTTTGTGGTTAGCAAGCTGAGTAGATATACTAGTAACCCCGGTGATGAACACGGGAAGACAATAATAAGGGTTTTGAGGTATTTACGTAAAACCCAAAATCTTGGACTGCACTATGGAAGATATCTAGTTGTACTTGAAGGGTATAGTGACGCTAGTTGGATATCCGACATTAAGGACTCAAAGTTCACAGGTGGATATGTTTTCACTTTGGGAGGTGCAGTCATGTCATGGAAATCCTCGAAACAAACGATAATAGCTAGATCCACGATGGAGTCTGAGCTAATAGCCTTGGATAAGTGCACTGAAGAGGCTGAATGGCTACGCCATTTTCTCGAGAATATTCCAAGTTGGGAAAAGCCTGTCCCTCAATATGCATACATTGCGATTGCCAAGCGACAATTGGAAGGGTACCGAGCAACATGTACAATGGTAAGTCTAGACACGTTCGTTGTAGACTTAACACCATTAAACAACTCATCACAATGGGTGTTATCATGGTTGAATACGTGAAGTCAAAGGATAACATAGAGGATCCGCTAACCAAGGCATTTGATAGAGAATTGTTGAAGAAGTTGTCACGAGGAATGGGACTAAAGCATGTGAATTGAAAAGTTCTATAATGGATACCCAACCTAGTTGGTCCTAGGTTCAAAAGGGACAACTAAATTATAGAGCGAAGGATGGTCACTGTGGGGGTCCCGGACTCCTACCCACTCCTCGTTGAAACAGTGACTCCCACACGAGGTTAGCAAAAATGTCTGCTTTAATGATTCTGAAATGTTAATCTACTCGATAACATTGGAATAGTAAGCGGGATACTGGTGAAAGAATCGCCTATGTGAGAGAGAAGAGGGCCGCTTCAAAGGAGAATTGTACTGTATAGGCTCAGTTCTTTAGAAACTCTTGCAGAACCAGGATGGTGACCAATGGCCAAAACGGGCACACCCATCATAACAGAACAAAGTTGGAAGGTTCTTGTGTAAAGATAAGTCAGTGTTTACACGACGACAGTATAGTTCAAGGACATCGAGTCTACTAGACAACCAGTAAATAAACATGTCTTTACGGCGGAAGGTTCAAAGGATAAAATCTACCTCTCCGTATGCAGGTATTGTTGGAAAAATGTGTTAAAATTTGCATTAAACGGGAATTTTGGGGCAATAATTTGAGTTGAGTCCACTTCGATTTGGGTCGGGTCAAAGTGGTTTCGGATTGTCCAATTAAGGGCTACAATTCGATATATGATACACTCAAAACGGATAATGGGTGAATGAGAAATTGATTCTCGAAGTTCACTCGTTGAAACGGAAAAAGTGGGAAAAAGGACGGGTTTCTAGTGTGATTTATCCCACACCGGAAAACCCAAGGGATTTTCACCCCCTTATAAAGGGAACCCTCTTTGAAGGAGTTAAGATTCCTACGG